TCTGCAGGAGCTGCTGGAGGACTGCTGGGACCCCGACCCCGAAGCGCGGCTGTCGGCCGAGCGCGCCCTGCAGCGCCTACAGCGCTTGGCGGCTCCCCCCGAACCCCCCCAGCGGAGCTGACCCGGAGGTGCGACCCGAAATGGGGAAACTGAGGCACGGGGAAGGGGGGGGGAAGGAGGGGGAGGGGTCCTCCACGCCGCCGCGGGAGGAGGACGGAAAGCCACGCCCCCAAAGGGAGGAACCATTGTTGACCCCGCCCCCTCGGCAGGCCACGCCCCCCTCCGCAGGCCACGCCCCTCCCCGCTTCCTGCAGGGCGGGGCCGCGCTCGGAGTGGAGGCAGCGGAGGTGGGAGCGGAGCGGGCGGGACCCCCGGATCCCACACCCCCAGATCCCCCCCCCAGTGCACCCCAAATCGCCCCCCCAATGCTTCTGCACCCCTCACTCTCCCTGCACCCCTACGTACCCCAAATCCCCATTGCTTCTGCACCCCCAAATCCCTATTGCTCCCCATCCTCCCCCTCCTATACCCTTAAAGCCCCCCCCCCCCAAATCTCCCACCACCCAGAACCCCAAAAATCTCTGACCCCCCCTCCTCCCCCCCTGTCCCCTTTCTGGTTTCCTTTTGGGAGCATCGTGGGGGGACGTCCCCCTGCAGGAGGGGGGGGACCCGTGGGGGGGTTGGGGTCACAGCTCACCCCATGTCCCCCCATCTTCTCCCCCCATATCCAGGTCCCGGAGCAACTTTGGCCATGTGGGACCCCAATGCAGGTAAGAGGGGGCGGGGGGACAACATCTCAAAAAGTCTGGAAATGACCCCCAGAAATGGGGGGCAGCTTCATCTCCAGCTCCTGCCCTCCCCCCAGAGCGATTGGGAAGGTTGCTCCCCCCTAATTATCTCATTTCTCCCCTTAAACAGGGCAACCACCCCCCCCCAACCCCGTGTATCCCCCACAGCCACCCCCCCCCAACCCCTCCTACCCCCCCCACCCCACGGTCCCCCTGTACCCCCCTGGGCAGCCCCTGTGCCCCCCCGCAGCTCCCCCAAGCACCCCTATAGCCCCCCCATACCCCCCTAGCACCCCTCCGTACCCCCCTGGTGCTGTCCTGCCCCCCTCGGTTCCTCTGTGCCCAACGGGACCCCCAGGGTGCCCCCCCCTGCAGCCCCCCTATGCTGGGGTTCCCCCTCTGATCCCCCCTGGGCTGGACAAGAAGGCGGCGAAGAAGATGAAGAAGAGGATGAAGAAGGCTCAAAAGAGGCACAAGGTGATGGGGGGGGGGACAACACATACACAAGGTTTGGGGGGACACATTTTGGGGTCACCTCCCCAGTGCTCACTGTGTCCTGTTGTCCTGCAGCGCAATTTGTCCTCCTCCTCTTCCTCCTCCTCCTCCTCCAGCAGCGACTCCGACTGATGGCGGTGCCACCATCGGTGTCCTGGGGCCACTTGGGGGCCACCCGTGTCCTCCTGTGGCCCCCCCACGTGCTGTGACTACCTGTGGGACCACCCATGGGCACCTCCTGGAGTCCCACAGGACCACCCCTGACCACGTGGAACCCACGACCACCTGGGAGCATCCGTGACCACCCCATGTCCATGTAGGATCTCCTGAAGTCACTCATGACCACCCCATATCTGAGACCTCCTGGGACCCCCCCACAACCCCCCCCATGACCCTCATGACCACCTGCGACCACCCGGAACCACTCATAACGAACATCACCGTGACCCGTGTTGATCCATGACCACCAGGAACTGTCTGGGACCACCCTGACCACCCCATATCCATGTAGGACCTCCTGTCACCACCCCATATCCACCCCTGATCTCCTGGGAATCCCCCCCCCCTCCCGGCCACCCATGGCCCATGCCCACGTGGTGTCCCCATATTCCTTCACCCCATGGGCTTGTTGGGGGGGTGTTTTGGGTTCAGTGGGTGTCAGCATATTATGGGGTGGTCCCATTGGGTTCTGTGGGGCCCCATTGGGTTCTGTGGGGTTCTTTGGGGTCCCATTGGGTTCTGTAGGGCCTCACTGGGTTCTCTGGCGTCCCATTGGGTTCTGTAGGGCCCCATTGGGTTCTGTGGGGTCCCATTGGGTTCTGTGGGGTTCTGTGGGGTTCTGTGGTTCTGTGGGGTTCCGCGGTGTCACAGCTGCCGGGATTGCTGCTGCTGCCTTCCAATAAAGCCCTGAAACCCCCCCAGTCTGTGTCAGAGCCTCCTTTGCGTTGTGTGGAACAAACTCCACTGGGGCGGGGTCACCCCTAACCCTAATTCCCCATTGCTCTCCCCATCCCCACCCTTTCCTGTCCCCCTTTGTCCCAGCCCCCACCGCCTCCCCGTCCAATCTCCCGTTTCCCCCCATTGCCCGCTGCCACCCCTCAGTCCTCCCGGCCGCGGGGGGCGCTGCCTGCGGACGGCGGCGCTCTGCCCGCCCTCCTCTCTGTGGCGCGGGCTGAGGCCGGAGGGCGGAACGAGGGAGGAGGGGGCGGAGCGCTGCCGCTCTGTCCCCGCCCCGCCGCGCCTCGCTGGTGCGCGCCGTCCGTTTCCGGGTCGGGGCGGTTGTAAATCGGCCGCTCCCGCCGCCCCCGCCCAGACCCGCCGCGGCCGCCGCAGCAGGAGCAGCCGCCGCCTCCTCCCGTCGCCGCCATCCCGCCCGCTCCGGCGCGCTCCCTCTCCCCCCCCACCTCCCTCCCCTCCTCCCCGCCCTCCCTCCTCCCGCTCCGCCCGGAGCGCCCTTCTCCCGCCGCCGCCGTTACCGGCGCCGCTCCAGGTAGGCCCGACCTCCGCCCCCCCACCCCCATCACCCCCCGCTTTCCTTTTACCCGCTCCCCGCGCGCCATCCGCCGCCCTCTTCCACCTCAACCGCGAAGCCGCGGCCTCGCGTAGCGCCGCCGTCCCGCCCTGCGACGCCCGCCGCCGGCCGCGCCCTCACGCCAGCCCGAGGCCTAAGCGCGGCCTACTGCGGCCTAGGCCGCGGCCTGCGCGCCGCGCCGCCTCTGGAGGGGGGGGAGGGGGGTGCCGCCGCCCCTCC